TAAAATAAAAATGTTTATATTATACGCTGTGTATATACACCCGACCATAGTCGGGATTTTAATGGTCACCCGACCATGGTCGGGCTGATAGTAGGCACCCGACCATGGTCGGGCTGATAGTAGGCACCCGACCATGGTCGGGCTGTTAGTAGGCACACGACCATGGTTGGGCTGATAGTAGTCACCCGACCATTTTGTTATCAAATGCGCGGCGATTTGTATTTGAATAATTTGTATTTAAGCTGACCTTGAAATAGTACCCTGATGGTACTAATGTCCTAAACAATGATATTAATATGAGTTCAGAAATTATTCAAAATGAAAATTTAGCCAAAGAGTATAAAGAAGAGATTTGTAGCTTAATTTCTAATAATTTTTCAAAATATCAATCTACATCATTACTTGTTCTTTCTAAATGTATCCAGAGGTTGAAAAATGTTAAAACTGCAACTGGTTGGGATAGTTTTTTGGCAACTGCTGGAAGTTCTATTTCTTTAAGACACAGAAGTCGTGCTTTAATTAAAGTCCAACCTACAACAATTAGTAGAAGAAAACCTGGAATAACTAGAGGAAGTCAAAGATTACAAGTTGGACGACCAGTAAACGGAATAAAAAATAAAAAGATACTAAAAAGAAAAAGAAATCTTCAAGAGAATGTTAACTTAAATCTACCTAATGGCTAATGCCAAATCACATGGGACTAGCCATTGAAGATATATTTGATTAATTTTTAATTAATAATTAGTACTTAATTAAACATATAGTTACACTCATAATAATATTAACATTTATCCAAAAAAATTGTAAGTTATTTTATTTTAATATAGTACCTATCCTTACAAAATATTCTTAATAACCTTCTTCTAAAAACTAAACAATATATAAACAATATATAAACATAATATATTTAATTTGTAATAATTGTTGAGCTATTCATTTAAATAGTACAAAACAATTGTGGATTAGATATAGATTATTATAATATTACAATTTACAAATATCAATAGTAATGATCTAATAAACCTAAACTAAAAAAAAGAACATTAAAATCCAAAATAAAATATTAGTTACCTATATATCATACCTAATATTAAAGTATGTGAGTATTGTGTGAATTATGTTTATTAGTTTAAATACGGTAATTTTTTTTAATATTATACTTTTTATTCCACTGACATTTTGGGGGATGGGTTAATTTTATTTTTAAATAGAAACCTATTAAAATAATTTGCATAAATGTATTAGTTATTTAACTAGTAAAAACTAATCAAATAGATCATT